TTTAGTGAGTAGCTGCACTATATTGAGTCGAGGCGGTTTCTTCTTTGGCACCGTGGTTCAGTGGTATGACGCTTGCGTTGATATCGTAACGGTCCAGGTTCGATTCTCGGTATTGGATACGCACTGCTGAGGAGTCCGAAAATAGGAGGAAATGGACGCCCAGTGCTTTCTGCATTCTGTTGAGGACTCGATGAAATATTATTAATGATTACTCAAATCCCCACAAATTTCTATCACACACACATATATATATATATATATATATATAAATACTAGCAGCATGGTCCGGCGATGCCCGTTGTGCTTGATTCAAAAATCGTACGACTCATACAGCAATCGCTATCATTTGACTTAAAATATTTTTGCCCTTCCTTGCCTTTAAAGGAGTGCCCTTGCCGTGCTGATGTTGCTACATGCCTTACTTCTTGCCTATCTCACACTGCGAATTTTTTCTAAGGTCTATACTAAAAATTAAATCTGTTACGAAAAAAAAGAACTAAACAAAATGAACACAAAACGATCAGCTTTAAAAAAGGACTCGTAACTGGAAAAACCGAATGAAAAAAGAATGTTAACAACAAATACTTTCTCACACCCAAACCCAGTTCTGCGGAATCAGAATCAACGTTGAGTTTAAGCAAGCGAATGAGCCAATTGGAGTAAAGTGCCATGCAATTTAAATTTTTCCCACTTGTGACGAATGCAGCTATCGATTATTTTTGCCTGCTAGCATGCTAGTTAACATTCGTGTCAGTCAGCTGTTGGCTCTGACGCTGGCCATTAGAATATTCCTGCCTATTCGTGGCAGTCATCTATAGGCTCCCACTCTGGCCAGTACAAAATGGTCGCAAACTACATGAAAACTGCCGTAGAAGCATGAAAAAATCGATTATTTCCACTATCGATGGGAGTTGGGAAATGCAAAGTCGGCCTTGGCCTTCCCGCTAACTTGGAGCATGCGCATGTAAATTTTGGTGCAAATTCCGTCGAAAATTGCGGCCGTGCATTCGTTACACACACACACACACACACACACACACACACACACACACACACACACACACACACACACACATCCTGCCTTTTATAGATAGAGATACAAAGACAAAAAGAAATCTTACCTCAGCTGAAGTATTTATCGAAAGGCTAATATAATAACTTTGTCTTTATTTATATTGTCCTTTTACAGATATACATTATCTGAATTTTTTCACACGCACACACACATACCTATAATTATATATATATATATATATATATATATATATATATATATATGTGTGTGTGTGTGTGTGTGTGTGTGTGTGTGTGTATAGGTGTGTGCGTGAGAATGTATGTGTGATCAGAGAACCTAAAATACTAAATAATACTGTCTTTAATGTATGAAAAGTGAATAGATGGACATAAGTTTGAGGATTTTTCTGGTTGCAGAGGGATCGGGTTTCAAGATGTGCTTTTGGACGATCTGACATTTTTGGGTGCCATTTGTTCATCTTTAAAGAATTTGATGCTTCGGTTTAAAAAGCAAAGTAGTTAGTAGGACATTTCAGAATCCCCCCCCCAAATAAATTCCTTAACTTTTTTTTTCTTTATTAAAGTCCGAATAATTTTTTTTTATCTTTTATGAAGAATCTCTTTTCTTGTACCTTTATTATTTATCAGTCGCTGCATTAAATTGTACTTCAATGTTTAAGGACATTAAGATCATTGTGCATATCCGCCGTGTTTTTTGCTTGCAGTAAATCAAACCACAGAAGTGCAGTTTTTTGATGCAAAAGTGTGTTATTAGCTGTTTTCGTGTCCTTGAATTGTGCAATTGCTGTGTTGCTATGGTTAATTAGCTGTTCGCAGTGAGTCACCGGTTTAAATGCATTGCTGTCTGAAAAGTGGCTTATAAATACAAGAAGAAATAGTCGGTGGTGTCTCTTTAACTTCGATCCCGTGTTAAGGAACGCAACAATCCGATAACCTTCCCTCTTTTAACTTTTGTTTGGACCAAATCCAACCCGAATGCCTTCGTATACGTTGTATTATTTCAATGGTCGCGGAAGGGCCGAGATCTGCCGTATGCTGTTTGCTGCAGCCAGTGTTCAGTATACGGACAAGAGAATCGAGTTTTCTGAATGGAACACTTTCAGAAACAGTAAGTAGAATTATTTACTTGAAAGTTTTGATTGCCTCTAAACCTTCTTTTATATGCCATCTCCGTTAAAGACGTGGATGGTCATGGCTCTCCACAACTATCTTTCGTATTCTGAATAATTTTTGACCGCATTTTTGTGTTTTCTTTCTGTCAACCATTCATTTCTTTTATATACCATCGTATTTCAGAATGTGGGTCATTAAAGTCCTCCATAACTTCTATTTCTTCCCCTCAAGTAACTTTTACCTTTTTATCCATCTTTTCCCCTCTGTTGCTATCTAATCACTTCTTTTATATGCAATATCCCGTTTGAACGTGACTCTCCACAGCGTCCTGGTTTTTATTGCTTTAAGTAACTTTTAACCTTTTACCATCCCTATTTACCTTTGTTCTACCATTCATTCACTACTTTTATATACTCTGTTATTTCACGATGTAGGTGGTCATGGTTCTCCACATCTTCCTGTCTA